AGGCCCTGATTGCCTTACATCGAACGCTGCTGAACGAGCATCACGACTTCTTTCTAGCATCACAACATCCGTCCGCAAGTCCTATGCTCAAAAGACTGGCAGAGAAATATGCCATGCCGGCTCGTATGTGGCGTTACGGGATCCATTCCTTCCTAGAGCTACTACGCCATCGGCTCCCTGACTCCCTGGAGCATATGCTGACTTTCATTTACATGGCTTATTCAATGATGACTCTGCTATTAGAAAGCGTCCGCGCATTTGAAGAGACCTGGATTGAATGCCTGGGCGACTTAGCACGATACAGAATGGCAGTAGAAGAGGTGGACCTGCGGGACCGCGAGATCTGGGCTGGCGTCGCCAGATACTGGTACAACAAGGCAGCGGATAGGAATCCTGATGTTGGCAGGATACAACATCACCTTGCCGTCCTAGCTCGCCCGGATGTAGTGCAGCAGCTGTTCTACTATACAAAGTCTTTAGTCAGTGTGCACTCTTTTCCAAGCACGAGGGAAAGCATACCATCATTGTTTAATCCGCTTCTGAATGCGCCAAAAGCACATCATCACTATCCGCTCATTGCGGCTTTTGTTTTGGCTCATGGCTATCTCTTCTATCGCAACCCGGCGCCTCAGTTCTACAGATCAGCAGAGGAATTTTTGGCACACTTGGATACTCATGTTGGCCGAATGGGGGCCGCCTTTAAGATGCAGGGCGTCTACATGTCGTCGTGCAATTTCGCAGCCATATTCGAATACAATCACCCCGACGCCGCCTTGCCCGCCAAGTTCCACCCGGGAGGAATCCATCAAGGGAGATCTGCTTTGGAGACCCAACCGACGTCTGCAAAAACGTCGACTTCCGCTTGTGACCTCCATTTGACCGAGGATGGATCAATGGCATCCACAGATGGTCGAATGTATTCGCCGCTTAGTCTTTACGCGTCGTGCCTGACATTCCAAAGCTTTTCTGTCCTTCTTGACCAGATCGGAAACAAGAACATTTATCCCACAGTTCATATCTCGCTGGCCTTCCTCTGGTGCCTAGCACTCAACGGCAATACCAGCATAGAATACGTCGAAGCTTTCGTTCCGTGGAGAAAGATCGCCACCTTTCTCAATACCATGTTTCGCGATGATGCAGATATTCGAATTTTCGAAAGTCCCCATTTCCCTACTGTGGAAGAGAGGAAGCAATTGCCGGAGGACTTTTTCATACGTGGTCAGCTCTGGAGTCAACTCTATTTCCCGCCACATTTCTTTGAGGATTCTCTCATCGAGGATGAGGGGCGTTTCATTGAGCTACCCTCTCTGAACGTCTCCAGGATGTACAGGTGCCTTTGGCTGGGAGTGAAGCTGGCGACGGTATGTCCGAAGGACCGCGGCAAAGGAATGTGTAAAAGCGCTAACAAGGTACAGTTCAACCGTTGGATGACATACGACCCCGTCTCCCGAAAGTTCTCGGTGACACCCCTTGCGCTTCGACTTGAGAAACTTGCGGAGCAGCATAATCCCTTCAAAGTCGCAGCGCCGCAGTCGGGGGCCCGCGATTCGGACATGCCTGACACTTGAGGTTTCAGCTTCTCTCTTACGCCAAGTCATAACACAGTTTCGCCAATTGCGCTCGAGACGCTGGGCTGTCGATCAGAAGCTTGTCAAAGCTCAGAGTGCGACGATACCAACCTAGGAATAAGGCGTGCCATCAATGGCTGAACATCAAGGACAGGTAATTGAATGGAAAATGGCAACATGACTTGTCACACAATCCCCGACGACAGCCCGCGTAAGGCGAACTCGTCAGGAGCGCTTAGGAAAGTGACCATTGCGCTGGTCTGCCGGATCACGCTTGTGCGAAGCAAACACAGCCAATACCCCTCCCTCGCAAATGCAATTCAAGAACATTCAATTTTCTAAGATGGTATCTCCGCTGAGACTTCATCTTAGACTCTTTCATATTCCTACTCTGCCCCGGAATGATACTTCCAGAGGTATCTCCTTATCGAAGTTGCATTCTTACTGATTACGTGGTATTCCCAGATGGGTTACTTCTGCTCCCCATCTATTCTGTAGTCAACTGGGTTCCTTTTGGATCCTACGCTCGCTGCATGTGTGAACTTCTATTGGATAAGACGGCTTCGTTGAGCTGTCACTGGTGATGATACGATGTTCCTTTCCCTCAGCATGTTTTCACTCGGGTCCGTATTTCCCTTCCACAGATTTGTTTGTGATCGGGCCGCCCGTACATGCTCATTCTTGGAGCCCATAAAATGAGAAAATAGACTTTAACAATTGAGCATCGTTTGCATAAATGATGTCCGCCAATGATGGGCTGTCCATACCAGACGTGTACATCTAGGTACCTAGTTATCTCCGTGTACCCATGTAGTACCTAGTGGATAGTGCGTGGCCGTATACGTAAGTGCCTGTTGGCTGTTGTGGGGTTGAAGCATCGCGGCCCGTAGGGTCGGATTACACTTGGCGGGTACTTGCAACCAGCTATCTACTACTCACTAAACCCAAAACCAAAAGGACAAGTTGGCTATCCGGTCCCCCGCCCCAACTTTCATGGCATTCCGCGCATGATGGCCATTGTCTGTAGCGACTTCAACTCTCAATGCAAGTACTACTGACCAGACAGGCTCCGTGTCGCATGGCCGACCAACCAGGGATCGTCTTGACCTGTATCTCGAGCGCCTGAGCTCGTCTACCGCTACTGTGATTATCATTGCAACATTTTTCTTCATTTACAAACGCGTTTGTCATATCCATTATGGCTGAGCAATCGTGGATTGGGACGTGTGTCCATTGCACAAAACTGCTAGCCAGGGTGCCTCTTCCCGTCCTCCTGGTTGCCATATCCGCGACCCTTTTGGGATCATTAATTCTTGTATGCTCTTCCTGTCGCCTTTCTTTCCTCCTATGCCAATATTTGGTCTTGAAAATTACTGACATCTTCCCGTGCAAGTTCTACGTCGTCCTTTACCTAGTCGCACCCGAACCGCGAAAGCCATTACCAGAGGAGAAGCGATACCGCACCCTTTCCGAGGATGGAGCAATCACCCAACCCGAACAACTGCCCTGCTGGCAAGACGTCCTGGACCGGCAGAAACGTCCCGGTCGGATCTTTGACCATTCCCATATGGAGAAGGCGGAGCTATTCATGTCATTGGTGGTCCCCGCGTACAACGAGGAGGACCGTCTGGCTGGCATGCTAGAGGAGGCGGTCAACTACCTGGAGAGGATGTATGGGACATTAGGGGCGTCATCCACCTCCGACGAGAAAGCCGGAGATGCAATCCGACAGCGGAAACTGGCCAACGGACATGCGAACGGCCATGCCACGACAACGGCCACACCTAACGGCAAGTTTCCACCTGGGAAGGGCTGGGAGATTATCATTGTCTCCGACGGGTCCAAGGATAAGACGGAGGAGGTCGCGTTTGCTTTTGCCCGCGACCACCAGCTTTCGTTACACCCTAAGGGGTATGCTGGTCCTTGGACGCCGACGCCCCATGAGGGGGTCCATATTCCGCCCGGCACGATCCGGGTGGTGACTCTGGCCGAGAATCGGGGGAAGGGCGGGGCGGTTACGCATGGTATGCGGCATGTCCGCGGTCAGTACGTGGTGTTCGCCGATGCCGATGGGGCGAGCAAGTTTGAGGATCTGGGGAAGCTGGTCACTGCTTGTCGGGACATTGAGGACTCGGACGGGCGTGGAGTAGCAGTGGGTTCGCGAGCGCACATGGTTGGTAGTGAGGCTGTTGTCAAGGTATGATTTGTAGCTCCCGTCGTGAACTGGGCAAGGCTGACGTCGGACTCCCGATCACAGCGTTCGAAACTACGCAATTTCCTGATGCATTCGTTTCATTTGATACTGTGGCTTATGACGCCTCCCAAAACAGCGACCATCAAAGACACCCAGTGCGGGTTCAAGTTATTCTCGAGGGCCTCGCTGCCTTATATCATCCCCTATATGCACTCGGAAGGATGGATTTTCGACGTCGAGATGCTCATGCTGGCTGAATTCTCGGATATCCCGGTCGCAGAGGTTCCCGTGGGCTGGAGAGAGGTCAAGGGGAGCAAGCTGAATGTCGTTCGCGATAGCATCGGTATGGCTTGGGGTCTGGCTGTCCTCCGGGCTGCATGGACATTGGGGGTCTACAAACGGACGTGACAGGGGCTAAGAGATTCTACGTGTTGTATTTGGGTCTATACAATGATTGCTGCATCCTATCATCTGATTACTTCATGAAGATCTGCCCAGAGAGGTATATTCCACGACGACGTGAAAAGAGACAAGCCCAATAAAGGTTCTATACTTATTCTAAATCACTGGAAAAATGGCGGCGACTGATCCCGAACATCTCCGTCTCCATTCGTTTCTTGCCACTCAATTTTGAGAAGCCGAGCAAGCAATGGAAGATCCCGATGAACCAAAGACCCATACCAAATTGACTTTTCTCTTTTCCGTCGGACAGGTCCCATTATTTCCATCATTTCATCCAATTGATCGAAATGGCAGAGAGAGCCAAAGTTTTCGGCAGGAATTTTCTTCCCTGACGTCGGTCGGCCCGACTCAAGCTGCAGAATATAAGGCAGATCCTCGATAGCCCAGCCTGTGGTGGAGGCACGATGACAGTGGATGTTGGACTGATTGGATGCTGGACGTGTGGTATGATGCTTTTTTTTTCTGCTCTCTCTTTTACTTTGCCAAATACTGACTCAGTTGTCAGTCCATCGGTGCATATCGGCTTGGAATGCTCTGATTCATATCTCTGCAAAATTTGTCTACGTTTTTCTCTCTTTCTGCATATTATTATCTTTGTACCCTTATAGAAAGGCATTGGATGAGGTGTTGAATTCTGATATAGTTTTGATTTGTCTATTCTGTGAATTGTTTGATGTCACTGGGAGCTTTTTCCACACTGGGGTATCCCTAAAGATACAGAGCTTACGTCCCTATACTTCTTACCCTTGACGTTCGTTATATGATATCAAGCTACAATGTCGATCGACTTTGATATGCTCGAGGTCATCGCTTCTACATCGAAATCCACGCAAATCGGGGCGCGGAGTCCTCGAAATACAACTCCCAAACAGTCGGCTTTCCTTCGACTGCCTCCGGAGCTCCGTCTGAAGATCTACGAATATGCCCTGGCGGTCCCTAATGAATACACAGACCGTCCGCTGATCGTCGTCGACGATCGCGGCAACAGCTTCACCTCACGCGGACGGTTCCGCGCCCTCTCCATGTGTCCCAGCTGGGTAGGGCAGGACGGCACGGCGCGCAATCTGCTATCTGTCAACCGCCAGATCCACGACGAAGCAGAGGATTTTCTCTACTCGCGCCACACCCTGTTCTTCCTGAACTCGTTCGATCTGAGTCGTCTCGGCGCGTTCCTGGATACCCTCAGCGCGACGGCGCGCAGCCGCATTCGTAGCGTCGGCTTCGAGATCCGCTTCTTTGTGCATTCGCAGACGGGAGTGCCGAAGCGCGTGTTGAAGGACTACGAGCGCGCTGGACGGTTGCTCATGGAGAAGCTGCCGCAGTGGTCTAGTGTCTTCTTTTATCTGGATCCGAGGTTCTACTATCCGTCTGCTTCTGTGGGTGGGCGCGAGCTATCGGCTCGTGGGGTCCTTTATCTGGCGACGGTGTTTGGGGCGATAAGGAAGGATCTGCATTTCTTTCCGTTGCCGTCGATTCATCGGCATGTTATGGATGAGGCGCAGAGGTTGTTGAGGAGGGGGAGTCGGTCGTCGCAAGGTCGGCCTTCTCTTTGACGGACCTTGAAAATCTTCTCTTATTCTTATTCATTTGGAGAGTCGGATCTTGCAGCATATGTCATCGTTCGTTTTAGAGTCTATGAACGGTTGGGGACTGCTGCAGGATGACGTCCCGATGTTATGCGCTGCAAAAGTTGACATTCAGTCTTGTCCGATCTCGGCCTGGCGTGGGTCAATCACTTGGAGCTAACGGGATTATTCTGGCGCAGGAGGCTCGGATAGGAAATGCATGGCGCTGGTTACTTTTTGTGGAATATTTCATATTTCTCGTCTGGATGGTTTGCTTTCATATTGAAGGGTTTGGCACGGAGGAGTTTTTTTTGACTGGGCGTACTCACCTCATATAGACTATAGACTGATTGGATAGATATTCGCTCCCTGTACTTATATCAGTGCTATACTAATACTAATATCAAACGAAGCAAGATTATATGATGGTTTTAAGGGCCAAACCCGCATGCCTAACATACTGCTTGAGCTCATGGCATGATCGGCCGACCCAAGCCCGACTCCAAGTGCCATTCTGACTCTGACTACGGGAGAGTTCGGAAGATCATTCAAGAATAATAATCAGTTAGAATGTTTACACAGACACAAGACCTCACAAATGACACTTGAATGAGGAGAATCGATTGTCTGTTGGACGGGTTTGTATGGCATAACGTCATCGCGTCTCTCGTGATCGCCCACTTTCCCCTACCACCTCCATTTTGCAGATTCCCCAAGATCTGATGCATACCTCTGCTATTGGCATCCATTTGGAGATATAACCATCGATTTATCCTTCTTTCTCTATCCTTCGTCGATAATCATCTCCGTGCTTGGCGCCCGAATTCGACAGCCTCGGTTCGTTGAAAGAGCACTGAGGTTACACTCTCATAAAGGACGGACGGTAGGAGACTGAGGTGCTAGTCTGGTACGTCTCACACAATTCCCCCGCATAAATGTGGGACATCCATCGTCGACCCGCTTTCTGAAAACTGATATAATTGCTTCAGTCTGCGGTCGTTTATCAGCAACTCGTCTTCTGGTAACATAATGCGCTGAACTACTATCGCTGCGGTGAAAGATTACTTGTCCTCCGACGTTTGGCTGGCACCAAGCAATCCAGCATTCGATCTCCACACTACGGAGCAGTTGACAACGCTATCGCTGCTCCTTCTATGGGGCCACGCTGTGCCTGAGGAGTTCATCCATATTTGTCCGCGCTTTCAGGCACCTCTTCATACGCTAGTTGTCGGCCGAAAATTAACCACTCAACGTTGTACAGGACGACGCTGTGCCTAGCGAACCCCTTGTCCCCTCTTGTCTGTACCTTGTAGGTGGTTTCCTGCATCTGTTTTTCCTTTTAATTTTCATGCGGCGGAGATCTGCCCTGGCGATGCTGTTTCCATTTCCCAGAGAACGCCAAGTTGATAATCCTCACGCATCATTGACAACCCGCTGATTATTGGCAATTTTCGTGGAGATTCGAGTGCTCAGTCTCCCCTGTATTAGTTTTATTGTCTTTGAAGTTCCCTTGCTTCTTTTCTCTTTTTCTCCACCTCTTTATCCCTTTAGACAGGAGACGCCTTTTTAACTGGAAGACGACCCTGCAATTGTCTCATATGAAACGGTCTGGCTACCGCCACCATGAAACCAACGACTGCAAAGGTTCCCAATGGGCATGGGAGCCTCTACAAGGAGGTTCGCTTTTCGCCAACGGCAACCCCCCTCCGCCGTGCACAGTCGGTCTCGACCAGTACCCCCGCCTCCAAGTTCGATCACGGGCGGGTGCTTGGCAAAGCAGAAAGCGATCGGTTCTCTTACTCGGCTTTGAGCGCCGATTATCTGGAGCAGGCCCGAACGCTTCTCCACCGCCAAAGGGCGAGCTTCGAGAATGAACGAGCACTTTTCGCAGAGGAACGGCAATTGTGGGAGAAAGAGAGGGAGCTACTGAAACTAAGAATATCAGAATTAGAAGCCTTGTTGAAGAGCAAAGGTCCCCCGAACGATGACTATCCTGCTCCTGGCACACTTGCCGAATTCTCTTTGAACCCCTTCGGTGGTCCGCTGTCCCCTAATTTATCTAATGAGCGCCACCGCAGCCACGATTATATGAGTGCTCAGGTGTGGGAGGGGCCCAGCCCTACGAGTCGGCCCACAAGGGTTTTTCACGATGTGGAAAAGACCGCTGGTCAGAACCACCTCGCGTCGATCACGGAGCAAGGAGCGCATCTGCCACTCACTGCGCCGTCCTTAGATGCGGCGCTATCCCCCAAGGCTCGTGCAGCCGAACTGTCCGCGTGTATGAGTATATCCGTCCCAATCGAGAAGCTTGACAGCAGGCTAGATGGCATTACGCTCAAATCTTCAGCGCTACCCCCCGATGTCGTCGCCCGCGTGATGACACCACCATCCCCTTCGCCAATGGACGTATCTTCAGTGTCGTCCGATCGTTCCAAAACGTCTTCGGAACGTAAGAACAGCCTGAAGCTGAAACTGTCCGAGCTTGGGCCACCCGACGTGAATCTAGTTAGGGATGCTGGGCACACCCCCATGGTGCTCATTGATGCCGATGCGGACACAGAGCAGGCCTCGGTTAACGGTGACGTAATCACGACAGTCCAGGGCAAGGAAGAAGAGCCCTTCGCCCCTAGGACGACGATGGTTGGACAGCCTGCAGAAAAATCCGACTCCTACTTTCCGGACGTACCTGATGATCCCGCTCTCAAGGGGCCGTTATCCCTGCTAAATGAAGAGGAGCATGACAGCGAGTTCCTGCAGGAGTTGGATCTGAAACTCCTCGATCAGGCCAGACGAGCCATTGGTCGCTCCTCTGAAATCGACCCGGACGACGAGAAGGTAGCGGATGCAGACCCTACTGAGTCCGTTCCTGAATTGAAATTCAAAAAAACGACCAATTTCGGCACTGCGTTCGGGGTCTCGGACTTTGAAAAAGCTTGAGGCGTGGTTTACAATTTGACCCCTTTTCTATTTACTGTACGATGATACACCTGTCGTTCGACGCACATTATCAGCGATTTTGAGGAGGTCATAGGCAATGTGATATATATATCCGAGTCATTTAGGTGGCCCATACCCGTTTTGGCATACTAGAACGATGATATTGAGATAGCGTCTTATTCTCATCTCTTCAAGTTTGAGTCGACAATCTGACTTTCGCGATGTGTAACAAACCTTACCAGGCAGCGCTGCTTAACGAAGTTCCGGGCACTGGCGTTTGACTTGTCGTGGGCGTATCAATAACTCGGCCGCCCTTGCATGGCATCAACCTCGAATGGGCGTATCAAGCCACGATTTCTTCTTGTCTCATCCCTTTGCCCTTCGATGTATCTTCGTTGCATCTGCATGTGCAGTGCAAATCCGGAGGATACGCCGATATACCCCTCATCCTATGCTCCTAGCTATTATCGGACTAAGAATAGTCTTCATCTTATGCCTTCGCGAGGCAGTTTCACATCCTTCGCAGCCAGCCACCGAGATCCGAGCACTTGTCATGTAAGGCATTGACTCATTTGCACAGAAGATGAAGGCAGATATAAAAGACCTCCTGTCCCATGCCATGTTGTGGTCTATCTATCATCCATTCTTTGACTTTTCTGCTCGTAGAGAGCAGTCATTCGTTTATCTATCTGAACGACATTCTTTTTTTCTTCTTCAGAACTTTATCATTACATTCTTTCCATCGATATGACAAAGACGCACAACGTCAAAAAGCTCTCGGCGCTGCTCTGCCTCCTGCTCGCGGTTGGCCCTATTGCTGTTCTCTCAGCTCCCATCGCTGATGTAAGACATGACACGCATTGTCACCCTTTTCCAGCTGCCTTCCCATGCTAAGAAAGAAATAGGTCGAAAGCCTGGCCAAAAGGCAGTCAACTCACAGCAACACCGATGCTGCATCCTTCATGAACGCTGGCATCCCCGCCGGACCAGCCTTTAACAAAGGCGATTCCTTCTCCTCCAGCAACGATGAGAACCGCAGTGAGGACTGCGATAAGAATGAGGATGACAATCACCCGCCCTCCAGCCCGAGCYMGASCTCTAGCAGCAACACCGRCGCCGCATCCTTCATGAACGCTGGCATCCCCGACGGACCAGCCTTTAACAAAGGCGATTCCTTCTCCTCAAACAACGGGGAGGACCGCGATGTGGGCGACGATGAGAATGGCTCCCACTCGGGCTTCAGCACCAACACCGACGCAGGTGACTTCGCCACATTTGGTATCCCCGACGGCCCCAGCGCTACCTTTGGGAATTTCTATCACCATGATTATGAGGAGACTCACTCCGAGCAGCCCGAGACTTCGCACGTTCCTGAGCCTACTCCGCCTACGCCTCCTGTAGAGACGCCTACATCGACCCCTCCGGCTCCTCCTACCTCTACACCCCCTGCCCCTGCCCCTGCCCCTCCTACCTCTACTCCCCCTGCCCCCGCTCCTCCTGTCCCCGCTCCTCCTCCGGCGCCTCCTGCGCAGACTCCTGAAGCTCCTGTCGCTGCCCCTCCTGTACCAGCACCAGCACCCCCCGCCGATCATTCCTGCACCTGCAGTTGAACCATCAGAACAAGTGCACGGGGGTCTCCGGGCCGCAACGCGGCTAATGTATAATGGCGTCCTCAGGGACACCGCGTGTCTCTTATACTCTACTCCGACCTTTCCTTTCCCTTCTGTTCCTGTTCAAATTTCTTCCTATCGACCGGTTCTGTCTCTGTCGGCATTGCCAGGGGTGCATCGGTTGTATTATGATATTTTATTTCTATACGTTTCTGACGAGGAGTAGAGTATAGTATAATACAAGTGTGTCTCAATCCAATATCGTCTTCGTATGTATGCTGCCGGGGGTGATCCCAAGGAGAGAAAATAAAGTACTATTAGAAATTGAGATAGTGAACTGTCTTGTCTCATTCCCGTCATATCTTCATAGAATCGAAAGCAGAAATGACTCCTCGCTAACGCCAAACAACCACCGGAAAAAGCACAACATATCCCCCAAAG